ATCAAGCAAACATTTTATGTCCATCCCAATGTGGGTTTTGTAAACATTGCTCTGCAGAACATATGCACTGTCAGATATTGTAGGTAAAATATGAAAATAAATGGCCAAAATATTATTTCCTTGTGACATTTTTATTAATTTATGAAAAGCTTTTGACACTTTTGGCGACAATATTTTGCTCTGTAAATTACATCATTATGAAATACAAGGTATCATGACTCTCCACATGTCTAACAGGGAGATTCCAAACCACAAAGCAAATGGAAACCAGATCTCGAAAAAGGTGGTGGTAGTACTTATGTGGTGTACCTCATGGATCTTTTCTCAGTCCACAATTATTGTTATAACTGTATATTATATGTCTTGCCTGTTGTAATATTGAAACCTTTGGGGATCCTCTTAGGGACCCCTGAATGACTTCACGGGCACCCCGAACACAGGAAGCCATGTGCGCATTAGACAATCGAACTTTATAGTTAGCGGGAATTGAAAAGCTCAGTTTATTGTTGATTTTTGGCTGCCTTCTTCAAGTAAATTTGAGTTCTCCCTTCTTGCAGATGACACCAATTTCTTGTGTAAAGATAAACCATTACCATTATAGGATTGGTTTTCAAGGAAAAGTTCAACAATATCTTTCTGCTCTCGACCCAATATAAATACTTCTTTTTATCACAAAATCATGAAGAAGTCAGCCTCTTTCTTGAATTGTTTTGGTACAGTATATATATGTGTACATGGATATGTCTGATAGGTATAAGGCATTTTGTATGGGCCCACTGGCTGGTTTGGAAGTAAAAAGGGAGTACCGTGACCCCTTAGCAGCCAGACAGATGAAATTGCACACTTAGTATTTAATTTCCAACCATTTTATGGTATTTTTGCAGAAATAAACTAGTTGATTTTGGTATTGACACTTTCCTTGAATGTGCTCCTAACCATTCTCTGTTTTGGAGAACTACCAGAATAATAAAAGGCCACCATATTTTTGTTAAAGAGATATGATGGGCCAATCTTACCCCATTTGGTTATTCAGTTGGTAAAAAGATCAATGGCAGTGTGGAGCAGATGGTAAAACTGTAGAGATGTGGAAACCTATTTACTTTCAATAATTTAAGTAATTGTAGCTTTAAATTATGTTTCATCTTAAGATATTCTGCATCCTGTTCTGTTACAACTCAGGATATGAACGAGGTAGCTAACCTATGTAATATGTAACAACAATTACTCATTACATGCATTTTGTGTAGGCAGTATTAATATTTAAATTAGGTCCTACTTGTCTTCATATTTCAGGTCAAGCAGCTGCTTGTGTGACATCTGTTGCAGGTTGGATACAAGGTACCTATTGGGAATTGCTTATTTTTTTGAGAACAAAACAGTTGCTCTTCAAGTTCAGTATTTATTTAAAGTATTTCACTTTATATTGAGCCATAGTGACATTACTGATATCACTCTCATTGTAAAACAGTGGCGACGTTACCTACATATCTCAGGATTGCTTACACATTTTATAAAATTAACATAATGTGGGGTATTAAAATACAGAGAAAATGCTCTCTGGCCAAGAAGTTTGGAAAAACATATCAAGCTTTTGCCTGTTGATCTACAGTCTTCCACAGATAAAACATTGTTTGAAAAGAATGCTGTACTGATTAGGGATCGGCTTAGAGTTATTGTTCACATTCTTGATGGCAGATCAAGGTGTGCCGAGCCTCTAGAGTTTTTCTAATACGAAAAGAGCCTTTGTCAATAACCCGAGAGTGATTGAAATCAATGTGATGATCAAATGAGTAACACGTAGGTTTCGCAATGTTTGACCCATCAGCACATGTCTTTACATTTCTAATGCGTTATTTCCTGCGGGTTTCAAAGCAACGGCGGTTCACCTACATAACACAAGTCACAATTGGCACTGGGTATTTTATACACCACGTTTATGTCGAATTAATTTGATGGCCTGCTCTCAGTTGGCTTGTTAGCTCAATTGGTAGAGCGCTGCACTAGTATCGCAGAGGTTAGTGGTTCGAATCCTGTACAGGCCTGATTTTTTTTCAGGTCTGATTTTCGCAATTGCATAAATAGCGCTCTCTACTGCAAGGATCTTGCATCATACGTATCTACAACCGCAATTCAAAATATATGAACCTCATATATTCATTGCATAGGGGACAATCTTCAAACAATAATATAGTTTATAACTCTCTATAATTGTTTTGGCAATGATAATATGTACTTTTTTCCAAAATCCATCATTTAGAGTTTATTGAAGTTGGAAAGAAAGAACCAGCTTTGGNGCTCACGTCAGCAGCGTACACCCATGGGCAAATGGGGGACGCTAAATTGACCAATCAGAGCGCACGCTTTACTTTGGTTATGTTATAAATAGTATTATCTCTGGAAATACATGTATTGCTTTATTTACATTCATTTGTTTGCATACGCACATTTTTGTATTTCTGTTGTATTAAGAACCAGAGAGAGGACATATATGTTAATGTATTTGTGTGCTAGAAGGAGAGAATTTCTCAAAACTCAGTCTAAGGGGATCATAAAGTTGATATAACTGCCTTTTATTATAGCAAATGTACTGAGAAAGATTAACTGAATACATGCATTTACTGATCATTTTGTAAGACAATAAATCCATTTACCGGTAGTACAATTGCTTGTGTGGGATGCACATGCTCTGATTAAGTCATATCTTACTATGATCTCCTTGCATACGGTGATCATAGCAGGATCACTAAATTTCAAATGGCTGCCTTTATCCAATGTTTGTGAAGTGATAAATGTGATGGAAGAAAATTCATCAAGATACGCATAAATACTCCAGTTAAGAAATAGCCTACAAATGGAATACTTCCTTGTACAATCCAAATTGTAAAGAATCGATGTGAGGTAATTGTAATGGCACAAAACTAGAGAATAATGCAGAGTAGGTTGGCGAGTGATACAAATTGACAAAAAGCAGTTCAAAACTCATATCTGTTCCTTTAAAGTTCGATTAGTTGAACTGGAAACTCACGTAATTGTTGCGTTAACTTGCTTTATATCCCAATAGTGTTTTTGGGCTGCTTATAAGAGCAAGGCCATTGTTTTTCGTCGCCTTGAACTTTATTTTTTTGCTCAGAGCGGGAAAGCAGATAACCTTAAATTTTCCCTTATTTTTTAATTGATCGGCTGCCATTTGTATTTATATCTTCGTTCTCACTGACTTTTTACTTGTCTGATTTACAAGTCTGATTAAATGTAGCTTCTAAAACGTGAATTTGCTAAAGCTGAGATTGGCCTGTCCAGTACTAGGTCGCTCGAGGGGCATGTTGTTTTTCGCGGCCTCGATCTTTGTTGATTTTGTATGAGATGCAGAATCAAAAACGCCAAGAAAATTCCTTGAAATTTGTCTTTTGCAAGCCTTTTTTTCTTACCATGAAGGATCGAGGTGGTCAATAAGCAAAGGTTAAAAAAAAAATCTTTCGTTTCCAATTCATGGGTTCGCACAGAAGTCCTTAATAAGATGTTACACCTTCCGTTTCACGTGGCTTCGATCCTTTTTGTTGTAGAGTCTCGAAAAGCTTCGCAAATGTTTAAAAAGGTACATGTTTGCGACCTTCTTTCGCTCTTTGAAAGGCCGAGGATAACATGCTACATAAACTAAGATGTTTTTATTTACGCAAATTGAAGAAAATCTCTTAGTTACATTTCGTGGTAAAACGTTTTGTTCACGACATCTTCGGAATTCATCACAGTTGTGATATACAATCCCTCTTGTTTTTCTCTTCTTTGCCCAATTTTCAATGGAAATCAATTGATAGCTTTACTCCCATGGTTTTCTAAAGAAATGGTCAATATGCAGACTTGTCGGTAATACCAGATTACTGAAAGTTGATTAATTTCAAGACAAAATCTTCCGATGAACAATACACTAAGAACATATTACGCTCCATACAAAACTTACCAGTACAATAGCCGAACTGTTGCACAGCCTCACTTGAAGTCAGCAAGTTCCGTTGTCATTTTCCGCCCATAGGAGTCTGCGATTTTGAGAGTTGGATGTCTCGTTACTCCAGAGCTGATTCCGTCACTTTCAAGGATTAAAATTCAATTATTCGTGAAACATGTAGCTTTCATTTAAGCTCCATTTGAGGTCTACTATGATCGAGATGGAACGGAAGAGGTAACAACTTATTACGGACTTCGGCACGAACCTGGAACATGAGTTGGAAATAAAAGATTTACGTTAAAATTTTATACCTTTCGGAATGCTTACGGTCATTTTCACGTTCCCACACAGATCAAAGACCCCTCGGCACATCATGGAAAGAAAAAAGTGGTTTGCAAACACAACTTTTGAGAGAACTTTCGAAGCTTTTTTTGGCTCTGGATCTCATACAACAACAAAGATCGAGGCTCCACGAAACAAAATGCCTTTGAGCAACCTGGTACTGGCTCGGCCAACCTCAGTATTTATTTAAACGCAGTATTACCAAAGTCGCACATAGGCCAGGTTATTTCGTTAAGTTCTGGTTGCATCAGCTAAACTTAACAGTACAAAAGGACTGGTAAGAACCAATCAGATCTGCTCATTTTGGCAGTTACATCATGGTTTTCATGATCGAATTTCAAAATGATTTTGCCGACCCAAACTAGCTGCTGCATCATTGATAAAAACTTTTAAAGTTCTCTACCATCATCGGACACTTGTTTTAATGGATCAAAAAACTTTCTGTCGAAGTACATTCTAGTTGTTCTTGTTCGTTAATCTTTCCTTAAGCGCCAAATATGGAACAGGAAGAACGGGCTGGACGAAGACCTCGAAGGAATTCTGACTCTTTTCTTTGTTTCAAACCAAATGAGAATGAGATAGCCCTGAAGAGGTTAATGGAAGAAACAGAAGAAAAATGGAGGAAAGAGAAAGAAATTCTTGAATTAAGGATCACAGAGCTCGAGGATACCTTGAAGGCGGAAAGGACGAGTAATTTGAACCGTAAGCATCCAACTACCTACTTACACCAAACAGACTTTTGAAAATTGTAGGAAGAAAAAATTTTGAGCAAATATACACGTTTGTGGATTTGTGATATATTCTTCCCACAAATTGATTCGATTAATGGTACCTGTCGCTCTTCCTAAGGACCGTGATTTTCTCAATAATTTGACTTTAGATGTTACCATTCTGTCTTGGTGTTCAGTTTTTCGAATACAACTGGAAACATTCATTTCTTGTCTTTAACGATTCCAGAAACTACGACTCTCGGGCGAGCATTGGAAAGACTACGCAGACATTCTGACTCTGACTTGTACTACAAGGCAAGAAAAAGGGAGGTTGAACAAACAGAGAACGAACCAGAACGAGCTTTTGAAGATGGAGCGGAAATGGATTTCGACAAGCGTATGTTCGTAGAGAATTATTTACGGAATATCCATGAAACACACAGCATAACGACAGAGGCAAGTGACAGCGCAAGTTATGACGGCGGATGAATTCGCAGAATTTATCCTGTTTCTCCAAAATTCATTGAAAAAAAAAATAGAAAATCGGGGTGAAGACAGGATATAGCAACTTGGGATCTATTTCATTTGGAGAATGGATTCTTAGGTTTTACCCCGTTTTTCTAGTATTTGTTGAAAAATGGAAAATTTGGGTAAAGATACAATACGGGAACTTTGGGTATTATCCACTTGTAGCATGAATGCTCAGAATTTACCTCGTTTTTCTAAAATTCATTGATCAAATGGAAAATCGAGGTGAAGATGGCATATGGGAACTTAGGCGCAGTTCAGACGCCGATCTTTTCATGAGCCAAACCTAATTCCTTGAATTAAGTACATGAAAAGATCGGCGTCTGAATCAATTTGCAACGGCTATTTCAATTTGGAACGGCTCACCCGTTCTTGCCGCCTGGCTTGGCCGAGAATTTCGCCTCTGGAGCGCCTTTGGAATGGCTTTGATTCAGACGTCGTACTTTTCATGCGCAGATCCTAATACATAAACTATTATAATTTATTTTGCAAGTAATTAATGTGACTGGTTCTACTGGAACTGTATCTGGAACGGCCAAAAAGAACGGCCTCTGAATCAACAGGCGTACTTTTGTTAATTTGGGTTGGTCCAAATTCGAATTGAGCTCGGCTCATGAACAGTTCGGCGTCTGAACCGGGCCTAAGCCTTCTTGTGGGCCGAATTCTCAAAATTCATTAAGAAATGGAAAATCGGGGTAAAGATATGTGGGAACTTAGGGTCTTATCCACTTATAGCGTGAATCCCCAGAATTTATTCGTTTTTCTAGAATTTATTGAAAAAAGAAATGGAAAATCGGGTAAAGATTGGATATGGCGAGTCAGTGAGATAAATTCCACTTGAAGGATGAATTTTCAGAATGTGCATGCCCCGTTTTTCTACTCACTGAAAAAAAAAATGGAAAATCAGGGTAAAGTAGATTAGATGTGGCAAGTCAATAGAATATATTCGACTTGGAGGATAAGTTACTAGAATTTTCCCCGTTTTTCTATAATTCCTTGAAAAAAACTCCAAAATCAGAGTAAGATGGCATAAAGGAACTACGGGTATTATCCGCTTGTAGCATGAATTCTCAGAGTTTACCCCATTTTTCTAGAATTAATTCATTAAAAAAAGAAAAATCAGGAAATATTTGACATGACAACGTTGGGTTATATTCCACTTGCAGTATTAATTCTAAGAATTTACCCCTGTAAAAAAAAAAAAAGAAATTGGAAAATCGAAGCAAAGATGGCATTTGAGAACTTCGGGTATTATCCCCTTGTAGCATGAATTGTCAGAGTTTGTGCTGTTTTTCTGGAATTAATTCATTTAAAAAAAAGGAATTCGAATATTGTAGTAAAGATTGGATATGACAACTTAGGATATACTTCGCTTATATACGGTATAAATTCTCATAACTTACCTTATGGCCTCTTTTTTTCTGGAATTCATTGAAATAAAAATAGAAGACCGGGTTGAAGATTGGATATAGAAACTTAGAATATATTCTGCTCATGGGGTGAGTTTTCAGAATTAACCCCGTTTTTTCGGAATTTATCAGAAAAAACGGAAAATCAGGGATGTACCGAGTTATAACTCATTCGACGCGTTGGAATATATTCTTTTTATGACGTGAGTTGTTTTTTTGTTTTGTTTTTTTTTTGGTTTTAGAATTCTCTGGAAATAATGAAAAATTGGGTAAAGATTACACATAACAAGTTGGGATATGTTTAGTTTGCAGGATAAATTGTCCGATTTTACCCCATTTTTTACAGAATTCTTGGAAAAAAGCAAAAAAAATCGGACAAAGATTGAATGTGACGTGTTAAGTTGTATTCCTCTTATAGGATGAATATACTCAGATTTTACCCCGTTTATCCTGAATTTACTCATGTACGGTGAACTCTCAACCGGACCATGATCGTGAGAGGGGGCTCCAAAGAAGAGGTTCAAGGACAGCCTAAAGAAGTCACTCAGCACCTGCAACATCGACCAAAAAGAGTGGTCTGACCTGGCTACAGACCGTGGTATCTGGCGCCACACAATCAACCAAGCCACTGCTCAATTTTAGAAGGATAGACGTGAGGTACTTAAAGACAAGTGTCAGAGGAGGAAAGCCCGCGCCGCCTCCACCTTCACTCCTGAATCCACCTTTCTCTGCAGATACTGCCCGCGGATCTGCCTTTCTCCCATCGGTCTGGTCAGCCTCGAACGTGCCTGCAGCCGATGTCAACGTGGACAACCTTTTTAATCTTCGCTCGCGAAGTCAAGCCAACACTCAAAAAACGGAAAATCGGGGTGAAGATTGATTATGAAAAACTATGTATTCCACATGTGGGATTGTCAGATTTAACCAAACTTGTCTCTTATAAACGAAAACAAAAATATGGAAAATTAGGGTAAAGATTTGATATCCCAACTAAGGTTATATTCCACTTGCGTGATGAATTGTCAGAACTTGTCCAGGTCTTCTAGAACTCGTTGAACAAATGGAAAATCGGGGTAAGGGTTGGACACGCCAAGTCACGATGTTAACCACACGAATTCTCCCGATTCCACTTTTTCAACAGTTAATTGAACAAATCTGGGTGAAGATTGGATTCGGAAAAGTTATGATATTACTTGTAGGATGAATTGTCATAATTAACCCCGTGTTTCTAGAGTTGATCGAGAAAGTGGAAAATTGGGGTGAAGATTGGATTTGGCATATTGGGATATATTCTAATTGCTGGATAAATTGTCAGAATTTATTTCCTTTTTTCGAGAATTTCCACATTCAATGAAAAATGGAAAAAGGGGTTAATAATAGATATGTCAAGTTTGGAGGTATTGCCCCTGCAGGGTAGGAGCTGTGAAATTGTTTTGATTTTCGAATGCACTCAAAACATGGAAATAGGGATAAACAGATATACTGCAGTTGTAAGTTAGATCGCTGGAAGTGCACCCTTAATTCGCGTAAGAAAATTTTGGGTCGGGGGGTAGTTGTCGGAAGGCTATCCCCGGGTGAAGTCAATAATTTTAGAGGG